GCTAGGCCTTGGCCAAGGTTGCTGTGCTGCTGCCTTGTGAATGGCCTAACCTAGAGCTCTGCAGAGGCTTTGCATGATGCTGTGATCTGGGCTGCCTTCCCTGCTGTGTCTTGTCAGTAGTTAGTTCATAGATCCAGCCTCATCTCTGCAGATTGGCTGTCCCAGGCAGAGCCATTTGACTCCAGACCTGTGTATCTAAGCAGGAACTGGCCAGATCTCTTCTACCTGCTGCTTTTCCCTAATCTCTCACCGTGTGTGGTGGAGCACTGACCTGGAGTTTGCTTTTTGGCCATCTGTAGTGATGAGCAGTTAGGATTGATTTGGGTTCTCACTTGTGGTTTGACTGTGATCTGGGGAGGCTTATGGCTGAGCAGAGCCCTAGCTCTGTTCATGGCTCAGGAGAGATAACCTTGTGAAAAAAGAGATGCTGTGAAGCAGCAATCTTTTGCAGTGAGTTTGCAGGGGCAGGATGAAGGGATTGCCACAAAGCCACTGCTGATGTGACCTGGTTCTTGCTCTGTGTGTTGCAGACACAGTTTTCTCCCGTGTGGAGGAGGAGCACCTCTGGGAGTGCAAACAGCTGGGTGTTTACTCACCCTTTGTGCTTCTCAACACCCTCATGTTCTTCAACACCAAGTTCTTCGGGCTGCAGACAGCAGAGGAGCACATGCAGCTCTCCTTCACCAATGTGGTGCGCCAGTCCCGCAAGTGCACCACAGCCCGTGGCATGACAAAGGTGGTGAGCATCCGCTACTATGCGCCTGCCAAGCAGAAGAAAAGCCGAGGTGGGTCTGGAAGAACATCTCTTTTCCTCCCCCTGCATTTCCCATCAGGATCCAGCTGTGATGCAGCTCTTTCCCCCTCTGCAGATGGCAGCTCTGGAAAACGAAAGCGTGAGGAAGAGGTACCGATGCTGGAGCAGCGGGAGAACAGGATGAATCCCCTCCGATGCCCAGTCAAGTTTTATGAGTTTTATCTCTCCAAATGGTGAGGCTTTCTCTGGAGAAGAGGCATGTGCCATTTTGGGGCTACTTCATAGTTCTGATGGAACCCTGTGGAGTGACTGCTGCTTTCCAGACATTTGTACGTGAGCATGCAGTCTTGCCCAGATTCTGTGCTGCTTCATTAGATCAAGTTTGAGAGAATGCTTCTCTCTGGCCTCTTCCACTTCCTGCCCTTCTCCAGACTGGCAGGAATGTGCAGTAGGAGTCCAGTGCTGGAGTAGTTAGGGGTTTTGGCCTTGAACAAGGAGCTGCAGACTGGGTTTGTGTCCTTATCCTACTGCATGATAAGAGGCTGTGATGAGCTGTGAACCCCCCTTGCTAAACACATCAGACCAGGCTGGCTGAGCCCCTGAAGCTGGTATCCCAGGTCTCACCCTCCTCTCTCTCCACAGTCCCGAGAGCCTGCGGAGCCGCAACGATGTGTTCTACCTGCAGCCTGAGCGGTCGTGCATTGCCGAGTCCCCGCTCTGGTACTCGGTGATCCCCATGGACCGGAGCATGCTGGAGAGCATGCTGAACCGCATCCTGGCCGTCAGGGAGATCTACGAGGAGCGCAGTCGGCTCAGCAGCCTGGAGGATGACATGGACTAAGGGCAAGGTGCTGCTGGACTGGCTGCACTCCAGCCCTGGACACCTCATCTTGCTGCTTCCCATTGCAGGGCAGGGGCCATGCAGCAAAGGAAGGGATGGTGTTGCAGCAGTGCTGTCCCTGCATCATTACCAGACTTGGACCTCCAATCCTGCTCATTACAGGCATTCCCTTCGTACGTGGCCCCCACACTCAGCTGTGTCTCCCATTTTGGCTGCTGGGTGAGCCATCTTCCCCAGGGCCTGTTCCCGAGGCACAGGAGTGGCAGAGTCCCTGGTGCAGCTCCCCTTGCCCAGCCCTGTTCCTCCCCTACCCCCAGCCCTGCTACTACCCCTCTCTCCCTGTGCCCCAGGGCAGGAATTGCACAAAACACAGTGCCCCATTGGACCAGTGGCCCCGAAAGCTTTTACTTCTCTCTTCTTTAGCATTCCCTCACAAGGCTGGAGGTACCAACAGTAGCTCTGCTGCTGGGGCAGGATTGTCTTTTCAAGCCAGTGGACATATGGGCCACAGGCAACCTGAGAACTGTTGGGTCAGGGGAAGAACTTTTGTCCCAGGATGGAAGAGATTTGGGTTGGTTGCAGGGAGTGGATGGAGCTTGCACTGGAATTCGTGGGCAGAGATCTGGCCTTGTCACAAGGATACCTCCCTTGTGTGCAGCCAGGATGCCTCCCTCTCTTTGGTCAATGTTTTCTGAGTCTGCTGAAAGCTGATGGAGATGGGTCTGTGCTAGTGCTGCCCCTCTCTCCCCAGTGTTCCCTGTCTTGGTGTAAGGACCCTCCCCTGTGCAAGGTGCCATCAGTGGAAACCTCTGCTCTAGCCAGGGGCCCAGGCATTTGCTGACAGAAGCAGGGAGCCCTGCCTGGCCTCCCCCTCCCTCCCACAGCCACAGACTGTCACCACCCTGCCCAGGACAAGTCTGGCTCCAGCTGTGCCACCCTGCTGCCTCCTGCCCCTTCTCGTGTTCTGGTCTTGAGCTGTACATGGGTCTCCCATTGAGCCTGTATATATTGTTCTGGGGCCATCTGTTCCCTGTGTCCATGTGGAGAGTGAGCCGCTCAGCAGTCTTGTTGTAGTGATGCCAGGGCAGTAGGGCTAACCCGGTGTCTCTGGAAACCATTAATTTCAAATAAAGATGTGGAAAACTTTGGCAGCCCCTGGTTTTTCCCCCTGGGCAGGGTAAGCATTGTAGGAGAATAGGGCAAGTGTCCCTGTGCTGCTGTGCACCTCACTCCTGTCCATCCCAGCCTGTGCTCCCGTCACTTCCTACCTTGCCTGGGCCCTGCTGTCCTGCCAGCTCTGGCATGTGGTGATGGCCTCTGCCCCAGTGCCCACTGGTGCCAGCATGGCATGCCCTGCCTGTCCCTGCCCTGCCCTCTGCCCACAGTGCTGCAGCCCCACCCAACACAGCAGTGCCCTGCCCTGGCCGTGCAGTGTCCATAGGAGGGAGCAGCTGGAGGGCAATGCCAGTGCCTGTGAGCAGAGCAGGACTCAAGTGCGGTGCAGTAAGTGTTTATTTTCTCCCCCTTCCAAGCTCTAGTCTCAGCCCTGCTGCTCCCAGGAGTGCCAGCAGCAGTTGAGCAGTGTCCCCAGGGCTGTTCCCAGCTCTGTTGCTGACCATGGGGTCCATGCCTTGGGCCCCGCAGAGACTGGAGACACAATCACCACCGTGCCCAGCCATGCATTGCCCATCCCTGACCATCCCGGCAGGCCACATTTACACTGACAGGTCTGCCATTCGCGTGTCCCTGTAGGACCCACCAACCACCCCTAGCCATGCACCTGCCTTCTTCAGCGGTGCCAGGCCACGGGGGGGTCTGCCAGCAGCCAGGGGGCTTCCACCCCCGGGCAGAGTGACATAGGTGCTGCCAGGCCCTACAGGCCCACCAGGAGCGGTCAGCATGCGGGACTTGGGGCCTGGCCCCTGACGGCACTTGGTGAGACCCAGGTGGTAGATCTCCACCAGGTTGAGCAGCAGGGACACGCAGGCCACCCCCATCATGAAGAGGATGAAGATGGTCTTCTCAGTGGGCCGGGAGATGTAGCAGTTGACTGTGTTGGGGCAGGGCCAGCGGCTGCAGGTGTAGAGGGGCTTCAGCTGGAACCCATACAAGGTGTACTGGCCCACAATGAAACCCACTTCCAGGAGAGCCTTGAAGACGATGTTGCAGATGTATGTCCTCAGGATGGCCCCCTGCATGCAGACCCGTGCCCTCGTGTTCCCTGCAGGGAGCTGGGGCTGCCTGGGGCGCTGCCGCCTGGCCCCACTGCTGGCCCGTGCTGCCTTTTGCTGCTGTGCCTTCTCCTCCAGATGCACCAGGTGCAGGATGTGGCCCAGATACACAAGGCTGGGGGTGGAGACAAAGATGATCTGCAGGACCCAGAAGCGGAGGTGGGAGATAGGGAAGGTGCTATCATAGCAGGCATTTTGGCAGCCGGGCTGCTGCGTGTCACAGGAGAAGCCAGACAGCTCGTCACCCCAGACCCGCTCCGCGGCTGCCCCCAGCACCAGGATGCGGAAGACGAAGAGGACGGTGAGCCAGACCTTCCCCACCACTGTGGAGTGCTCCTGGGCATTCTCCAGCAGCCGGCCCAGCAGGCTCCAGTCCCCCATGCCCTTGCTGTGGTGCCCTGCAAGACAGCCACTCTCCAGACACAGCCGCCCCACACCCCGCCAAAATGCCTCCCCACTCCCTGGTCAAGCGGGTGTGCACAGACCCAACCCAAGGCTGTTCCTGGAGCGTCCCCATCCTGTGTCCCAGGGGACCCCCTGTCCTGTCACAAGGAGAGCAGGGGGGGCAAAGGCCTCCAGCAGAGAGCTGGGAGAGCCACAGGGAACAACCGCGCCGGTGATCCCGCACGGGGACCTCTCACCGTAGACAGTGCGTGGGACAGAGCCCAGTGCTCCCGCGCCGTCCACTCCTGTCAGTGGGGTGACAGGGGATGCTGCGAGGCCCCTTCCCAGCTGGTCCCCAGCTCCTCCGTGGGGTGCGGACAGCTCTGCCTGTTCGTCTGTCCAGCCACCCAACGGCAGGCACGGGGTTATTGGGGCACGAGGCAGCTGCGTGCCCCATTGGCTTTCATTGTGACTGGCACATCAAACAGCCACTGGGGAAACTTTTTCCCTCTATTTTTGGTCTGGGCATTTTTCTAATTATATTCGGGGCTGCAGGGACTGGTGCTGGGGGAGCGCAAGCCCTTGGACACTGATCAATGCCACCCAGGGGTCACTGGCTGCTGCCAGCTGCCAGGGCAACACAGCCACAGCTCCAGCTCAGCCCTGGCACTGCAGTCCCCACAGCCCCTCGTGACACCCACCCAGGTTTGGGTGCAGGGATGGACACCCCACACTGGCACCCCAGCTCCGGGCATATCCCGGCCAGAGCAGAAAGGAGGGAGGCAACACCTGAGAATGGAGATTTAATGGCCCAGGATGCCCTCTTGGCCATCTAGGAGAGCCAGACTCACGCCTGAGGGATGCTATCCTTGGGACAGGGACAGTAACAAGCCCAAGGGGCAACTGTGGGGCCAGAGCCCCTGCAGTGGTGGCCCTAGCAGGCAGAGCAGCGGTCACCCTTCTCCTGCAGCCCAGAGTTGCGACGCAGCATGTCCTTGAGGGAACCGTCCTGCTCTGTCAGCAGCTGGTTGATCTCATTCTGCTTGTACTCGGAGGAATGCTTGTGCCCATAGAAGGAGCCCTTCCCCGATGAAGGGTTGGCGTGGTGCTGGCTTCGGCGGGCACAAGCCCGCACCACCAGGTAGACCAGCTCTGCCATGTTGAGGATGATGCAGATACTGGAGGTGACCAGCATGAAGACAGTGAAGATGGTCTTCTCAGTGGGCCGGGAGATGAAGCAGTCGACAGTGTTGGGGCAGGGGTAAGCCTCACACTTAACCAGCCGCATCATCTGGTAGCCGGGGTAGAGCATGTAGAAGATGTACATGAACACGGCCTCGAAGAGCAGCCTGAAGACCACGCTGCAAACGTATGTCCACCACAGTGAACCCGCTATGCGCATCTTGTGCTTCTTGACCTCTTCCATGTGCTTGGCATCCGCATGCCCTGTCAGCACCAGCAGCTTCTTCTCCTGGTGCTGCTGGTAGGCCACGTGCATGGCCACGAGAAGGGCTGGTGTGGTGACGAGGATGAGCTGCAGGGCCCACAGACGGATGTGGGAGATGGGGAAGAAGTGGTCATAGCAGACACTGTTGCAGCCAGGCTGCTGGGTGTTGCAGGTGAAGGCAGATTTCTCATCCCCCCAGACACTCTCGGCTGCCACCACTAACACCATTATCCGGAAGATGAAGATGACAGAGAGCCAGATGCGGCCGATGGCGGTGGAGTGGCGGTTCACCCCGCTCAGCACCGTGTAGAGGCCGGCCCAATTCATCGTTTCCCACGTCTGCAGGAGAGAGCGGTGAGGAGCGGTGTTAGGAGCAGGAAGGGTCCCTGGCTGAGAGTCAGCAGGTCCTGGCTCCACTGGCAGCAGCCCCAGGAGGGACCTGGGAACAACTGAATGGCAGCCCTGGCAGGTGGAGAGCAGGAGCGACAAACAGGAGGATGAACCGACAGGAGGATGGCAGCGTGGCTCCTGCTCTTGACATGGCTCAAGGCAGCATTTTGGCCAGAGCAGGCAGGAGACTGGCTGCCCCAGCAGTGCCAGATTCTCCAGTCCTGCCGCCCCACACTGGCACAGGGATCCTAACCCACAGCTGCCACAGAGAAAGGGGGTGAAGCTCCCACACCTTTGCAGGGACCACCAATATCCAGTGCTGAGTTCTTTGGCTAGGAATGGTCCCAAGGAACTTCATGGGCTCCACTGCACCAGTGCCTCCCTCTGTCCTCCCATTATCTGTAGGAGCATGGCCAGGGAGCCCTGAGCTGGGGGCTTCCCCCGTGCAGCCCTGCACTGCCACCCTCCCAGGGCCTGCCTTGCCCAAGGAACACAGGGCAAGCCCACCCCCAAGCACAGACCCCTGCCTCACCAGAGCCATCCACTGGCACTGAGCAGCCCCGGGAGCTGCTTCCCACCCCTGCAAGAGTCTGGGTGCTGGGACCAGCCACCCCCCCAGTGTGGAGGATCCTGGCGACGCGTACCTGCCGGTGAGGAAGGGTCCTCGCAAGCTGCCCCCAGTGGCCCCTCTAAGGTCTCATGCCTCCCGCAGGAGAGCTCTGCTCCGCCTGCCCTCGTCTCTCTCTGCCACTGCCCTGCACTGGAAGTCATATGCTGCTTTATAAAGTATTTACATACAATGGGGCCTTTATCGGTCCCTGAACAACACACTTTAGCATTCAGATCTAACGCCCTGACTTCCGCCCACCCTGGCCAAACAAAGTGCCTGTGTGCTGCATTCCCGCTGCTCGGCCCTGCACCCACTCCCACCTCCCCACCACGCCCCGCACCGACCACGGCCACGGCCTCCCCACCCGCGGGCTGCCCGTGCCTCTGCCCGGCGGGACCCACGCCACAGACATCGCTGCCGGACGGGCCACCCAGGGTGTCTGGAGGTCCCTTCCCCAGGAAGCCTGACCGGGCCCAGCCGCGTGCCCATTCCCCAAGGACGGCACAGGGCACTGGAGCAGCGGTCTGGCACCGAGCACCCTGTGTGCCGGCGTGGGGCTGGGTGGCACCGGGTACCGCGGCTGTGAGTCCTGCCATCTCCTGAAGGATCTGGTACCAGCATCCACGTCTGTGAGGGCATTAGAGCTGCCCCGCGTGTGCCTTTGGAGACGTGGGAGAAAGCCCAGCGGAGTGACGCTGGCTGCGCCTGGGGCTGCGCTCCTCCCCCGAGAGGGACTCACTGACGCTGCCCTAGTGCTCGGACATGCTGGTGGGGACAGCTGTCCCTGTGCTCGCACAGCCCCTGTGCCCCTCAGGGCTGGTGTCCCAGCCACACTGTCACACTGTGCCCCGTCCCTGCAGGGATGGCACCATGTCCCTTGGGTTTTGTCCCCAGCCTCAGGTGGGGTGCAGCATACCCAGTAAACCCTCCCAGCTGGGTGCCTGTAGGCTGGCAGGGCAATTAATTCCATCCCAAATGCCACCTCCTCCCCTTCGCCCAAGGTGCGAGCAGCCGGAGCTATGCAAGCGGTGGCGGCCAAAGACCGTCCAGCAAAGCTGTGAGGACTCCGCTTGTGTCTTCACTGCCCTTCTCCCCGCTCCCGCCATGAGGGCCGGCATTGCTGGCTCTCCTCTCCCAGGCCCAGGGTCGAGCCCTGCTGCAGCCCCCACTCTGGCCCCCCTGGTGCTCCTCAGCTGGGGGACATGCGGCCACCCCCACAACGGTGCTGTGCCCACCAGCTGCTCACCTCAACACCAGGACAATCAATGCTCTTTGGGATTGCAGCAATCAGTCTCTACCGCACCACTCTGGACTTTATACTGCCCTGCAGGCACGTCACCCACCCCCTCCCAAACAGCCTTGCTCCTTCCACGGCTCGCCAAGTAAACAGCGCAGGTGTGTCCAGCCTGGCTCACACCCACCGCATCCACCACCGCGGCTGAGCATCTGCCGGGGCCAGCCCCGGGGCTACTGCAGCGCTTGGGGCAGGGCCAGCCCCCCAGGATGGTCCCCGGGGAGATTTCTGGTCCCCGTGGCCCCACTCCCCTGCGGTGAGCATCCTCCCCGCTGCAAGCCAGGCACATCCACCGTGGCGGGCGGAGCCCTGCTCTCCAGCCGGGGGATGACTCTGGGTACCCCCAGGTCCTGGAGCTCCTTGATCTGGTGCTTCAGGCTGCCGGCTGGTCCCTGGGGAGCCACCAATACCCATATTTAATGTGTAAAAGTGCAGCCGGGAAAAGGCAAACAGCCTGTCAACGATTAACTCGGCTGGCCCGCTTCAAGGTCCCGCCGCCCAGCACCCCGTGTGGGACACGGCGACCCTGCCGCTCATCCTGGGCCCCGGGCCGGGCTGCAGGAGCCCGCGCGCCATCCCTTGCATGAGGGTGACAATGATGCCGGGTGCCTCCCGCATGGGGACGGCAGGGTGGCACCGTGGAGCGGCTGGGGGCCGCTCGGGGTGCCCCCGCAGCGGGGCGGGGGTCGATGGGCAGTGAGATACCGGGGACGGCCGGTGATGCAGGGCTGGCTGGGGCATAGGGGACACAATCTCGGTCCGTGATAAACGCCGCACCTGAGTCAGCAGCGCCGGCGAGGAGTGGCCGCGGCGGCACCGCCCAGGTCCCGCACCCTGGACGGGTTCTGGGGGTTAGCGGAGGGCATATCGGGGGAGCAAGGGGCTAGTGGGGCCAGGCTGGCGCGGTCAGGCTGGGTGGGGGTCACGGGGGGGTATCAAGAGGAGGGCAGACTGGTGAGCACTGGGGTGGGCTAAGCTAAGTGGAACGAAGCACAATGGGAGGTTGGCGCGGGGAGAGGGGTCCCTGGGAGGGGCCTGGGAACCAGGCAGGAGGTCACTGGGGTTACTGGGAGCCAGGACAGGCGTGGCTGGGAGCGCGGCGCGGAGGGGCCGCCGGCGGCCCGGGCCGTGCGGGGGGCGGTCGCCGGCCGCGGCAGCAGGTGGCGCTGCGGGGCCGGGCGGGGGCGGCGGGGCCCGGCGGGGCTCAGCGAGGGAATCCATCTAAAACAGAGTAAAAATGGAGAAAAGAAACCAACAGGAAAGAGGAGGAGGAAGCCGGGGCGTTGCTGTCCAGCACGATGCCCGCCCGTTGTCCTTGCAGGGAGCTGTCTGGGAGGAGCAGAGGTGCCGGGGTGGGCGGGAGCACAGGCAGCCCCTCGCCTGTTGGCAGCAGGTTCAATTGCAAACGCCGTCGGTGAAGGACGGGCTGTACTAAACAGCCGTGGTCGGCGCTGCCTCCAGTGCTCAGAAAAGTGCCCCGCCTGCGACGACGTGGGCCAGAAAGGGACTTCTTGTTAATGACGCTACTTGTGAAGTTAATTGATGTCTGAAGTTGCAGCGGAAGAGTTCAAAGACGTGGGCACGTCTAACGCAGAGCAGCTGATGAGATGGGCAGGACTGAGTCAGCAGCATGCGGGTGGTGGGGCTGAGGTGACGCAGGTGCTGGCATCCTGCTAGGGTCAGGGAACTTGCAGCCCAGCAGGCAGTATGGGCACCAACGATGGACGAAGTCAAGTTTGAACCATCACTGAAACATCTCCACTGACAGGAGGACTGCAGGGGAGGCTTCCAGAGCCCCCTTTCCCCGGCCATTCTGCTCCGGGCAGGGCTGGCCCTGTGAATGGCTCAGCCTCCTCACTGGATGGTCACTGCACTGCAGGGTTCCAGGCTTGGGCTGGCAGCAGCACAGGCATCCCTGGATCTAGGCTGCTGTTCTCAGAGAGACAAAACCCTCTGGTCTGAGTCAACTGCCAGGAAGGTCACTAGCAGTGGGTGAGCACAGAAATCCTTTGTGCTGCTGCAGCATAGGGCAGAGGGGGTTGCAGCCTAAGACTTAACAGCTTGTTCTGCCTGCCTGTGAATCTGCTCTCCTGTGTCCTGGGTGCGTCAGAGGTGTGGGGAACAGCACCAGGGTACTATCCCAGTGATGCTTCTGTGAAAAGCAGCATCCCTGCCCTCCTGCTGACTGTGAATCCTCAAGCAGCCAGAGGCCAGCCACAGGTCATTCACTCCCCTCCCATTCCAGGGACGTCTTTGCAGTTGAGTTCCCTTATGGTTCTCCTTGCCAACAGCCCTAAACATGTCCCCTGAAGCAGAGGATGTCTCACAGTTGTCATGCAGATATAAACTGTTCATACTCTCTGGGATACAGTGTCCCTTGAGGTTTGCCAGGTCTCCAAAGGAAAACTGTTGATGGTCAAGGACACCCTGGACAGATGGCAGCCTCAGGAGTTTTGCAAAGGTGGTAGCACAATAGCAGTGGGTTGTCTGTCACCAGCTTGCCTTGGGGTCCTAGCTGGGCTGGCCATGCTGGCACATGTGGCAGCATGCAGCTGGGGCTGCGCAAGGATGAGGAGAGGGGACAGAAGGGCAGGGTAATCCCCTAATCTGGGGCAGAAAGTCATCACCCCTTCAAAAGGGCACTAGGCACCCTGTGGGATGCCACAATGGGCAGCACCAGGGCTTTTAGGGGGGTCTTGAGCACGGTGCTGAACAGGGTACATGTGCCCGTGGCACTGGAGCTGCGAAGGTCCCCTGTGGGGAGAAGGACAGAGCCCCACACTCGCTTCCTGCACAGCCTGTCCCCCTGCCTGCCCCGGCTCCCCTGGCTCGGGGCCTTGGCCCTGGCTCCAGTGTCTACACGCTGCCTGGAGGCAACTCAGCCCCCCCACTCCGTTCCTGGTTTCCATGGCAACTCCAGCTGAAATTACATTAAGAAGACATGAAACCAGCAGCTTTTCTCTTTGGCAAATAGGGGGAGGGGAGCTCAGCTTGGAAAGGCTGGGAAAGGGGTTTTGAAGTTCGGAGGGAGGAGGCTGTGGCACAGATACATTCCCACATGGGGTCCCAGTGCAGGGGGCAGCAGGGCTGGGGGGATGTGGGAACGCCCCTCCACTGTGGCACATGGTGTTGACAGTCCTGGATGGTATAGTGCCAGCTTGCATGTGGGTCTGGCAACCTGACACGGTGGGTGATACCAGGGTCCTCCTGCTGCCTCTGTGAGGGAGTGCCAGGGACATGAGGACCAGCACAGGGCACCCCACCCCGCCCAGTGGTCCCCGGGCCCTGCATGCTTCAAGAAGAGACGAGACACACCGCTATTAAAAATATCACTTCTGTTTTATTTGGAATTTGTTACTCTGCACGGGTGACAGGGTATAAATACATTCTCCAACGAGCATCCTCACCCTCAGCCCTGCGCCGGGTGGGGCCGGGGCAGGGTGCAGGGCCGTTGTTGTGCTGGCCCCGGGCAGTAGGGCCAGCCGGCACCGGTGCGTCACGGCCGCCAGCACGGGCAGCGTCTGCCAGCCGGACCGTCTTGCAGAGGGACGAGATATGGTGCCCCCACAAGGACCTGTCCCTTTCTTCTGCCTCCCCAGGCCCCAGGTGCTAGTGCTCACCTTGGGGGGCTGAGACTGGGGTACCCCACATGGGGTCCCCTGCAGCTCCTTCTCCATGCCCGACCACACCAAAGCCACTTGCCTAGAGCCACGTGCGGCTCAGTGGCCACAGCAGATGCTCCCAGCCCCACATAGGCTGCATCAGCCCCAGAGTCCCTACCCAGGCATCTGTTCCAGCTCACATCCTGGATGCCAGAGCTGGGGTCACCCCACAATGGGGTAAAGGCCCCCATGGAAGCAACCTAGGAGGCAGAGTTGATGCTGGTGAGCAGCTCACCCTGCTCCTGTCACCCCACTCCTGCCACAGGCTGCAAACCACTCGCTCTGCTTTTGGGCAACAAGCATGGGGAGAGAGGGCACAGCACAGCCTGGGACAGTGGTGAAGGGATGTGGGATGCTCCTGGGGGAGCAGGGCAGGGTGGGGAGCATGAGGGGCTGTCCTGGGTTCATGGGAGTGAACAGACAGTGCTCAGAGCAGGTGATGTCCACACGGGGCAGTGGGTGGCACTGGCCAGCGGTGGCAGTGAGGGACCGGGCCGGGGGTGCTCGCAGGCAGGCCGTTGGATAGGCTTTTTGGCTGATATATGTGGGCACGGGTGACAGAGGAGGGAGAATATCAAAAAATACAAAAGAGCGCAGTCCCACAGTGCGGGAGGCACTGCCCTGCCTGGTGCCCAACTACGGCAGGCAGGCTCCATGGGGGGCCGGCACCGTGCGCACACGCTGGCTTCTAACTGGCTTTTTATTTTATATCAAGAACACTTGGTTTTAAAATCTTTACAAAGGACAAAACGCGGCAACTCCGTTAGTGTGTAAAGAACTAAAGATCTGCTTAAAAAACGTCTCTGCAAAGAGAAATGACTGACACAAAAGAGATTCTCTGCAGCGCAAAGAGGGGCAGAGGTGCCAAGTCTCCAGCCCAGGGCCCCACTCCCAGCATCCCTGAGCCCCGGTATCAGCCCCAGCGCCCGCATCCAGCACAAGGCCAGGTCCCTGGACTCTGCCCATTCCCTCTGCCTATAGCACCATGGCCTAGGGCCACTTCTCAGCACAGTGAAGGAGCCTTTTCCAGGGCCAAGATGCCTGGGGATGTCTGGGCACTGGCCAAGAGGGATGCCCAGTCCCACTCCTCGTCAGTCCCAGGGTGCTCTGTGGGCGTAGCACAGGGGATGTGAACGCCCCACTGGGAGGCACAGCCATGGCACTGGGAACACTGTGGCCATTGACAGTGGGGCACCCCTGCCCACCTGCACAGGTGGGTTGTGCAGGACTACACCATGTCCCTCCTGCACCCCACTGGCATCCCACGGGGCAACCCACAGGGCCCTGAGGCCAGGAGAGTCAAAGCACTTCTCAAAAGTTAGATAGGAACAAAAGAAAGCGCTGGGGCCACTCTGGTACCCCACAGGTCTCTGGGCT